GATCGACTCATGGTCCTGACAAAGTGTTGTTATTTTTCGGGTCGATCAGAAATTCAATTTGGCTGCCATGGCCGCTATTTTGAAAATAACTATTTCAAAATTAAAAACAAGTTCTAATAGGCCGATTGAACTGAAACTCGGTCTAGGAATGATCAGCTCATGGTCCTGACAAACTTAAGTTAACGTTATACTAATCTTTTTTTACTCAAATTGGTACATATTTCAACAACAAAAATAAATACTGTAGGACTCAGGTGACCGTTAAGGCTCATGTGTCTCTTGTTTCAACCAGTATCGCAGCCTCGTCCATATTTCCTCCCATCCCCTGTTGTTATGGCGCCTGACAGCCTCAGTAGCTATATATTGGTTTGCCTTACAACCCATCTCAACCGGCAAGCTCTAGCCCTGTCGTTGCCAATCTTCCGCGAGTTGGTGCTCATTCTTTATTGCATGAGCCTTCTTCATTTTGTCCTTCTTTGGAACCGTCAGTTCTGCCGTGGACACTTGTTTTAAATTTTGGACCACAGCACAATACCTCGGTGGATAGGTGTAAAAAACATCTTTAGTAAGACCCATCGTCCGTGTAGTCTGTCCTCAGTTTCCTGCCGTTGCCAGTATCTTCGTGACCGACCTCTTCTTCCCAGCACAGTTAAGTTCATCCTCGATATCTAGGGTTACGCTCACGTTCGCTCTCTGCACACCTCGAATGTGGCATAGCCAAGTTGAAGGCTCAGTGTGCAGCACTTTGTTGATGAGACTAGAAGACTAGATGATCCTTTAATTGATGTACATCAAAAGAATATCGCGGTCACGTAACGTTAAAAATTGACAGGCTTTGAAGCCGGGCGTCTCTCCTTTGTAATCTTAAAAGGATATGTATCAGCCTAGCGATTGGTCAGGTTTTTTTTACCCGAGACCAATCAAACAGCTATATTCGTGCCTTCAATTTTGCTATGACATATTACAGGGGTGTAGAGAGCGAAAGTGAGCGTAACCCCTGGATATCGAGGATGAGTTAAGTTATGTTTGGACTGCCACCTCATGTATCGCCCTACGGTAGGGACAACCCTGCATGTTGGTTGATAATGTAGTACGCAGATTACGTACACGTGTCATATCTTTCATGACCCAGGTATACGTAAGATAAGTTATCCTCAGGAGGAAGCTAAATATGGACCCCTCCATCTTTCAGATTGACTCACACTATGAGTGTGTCCACTATGCTGCATCTTACCTATAAAGTCTGTGATTCCTCTGACCCTGACACCGACAAATAGATATCTACACCTGACATCTCTCTGTCAAAATGTCTAAGTTTGGTGTCGGGGCCATAGCCCTGAATATCCGGCTATTGCCAAGTATAGTCTCGTTCTACCATACTGACGTCTATTTGAGCCCTGTCCCTGCGTTCTCATTGGTTGACACTCCTCCATCTGGGTCTTGAAATTGTTCCTAGACCCAGTCGCCCTGATACCACAGTCCCCAATGATGTCTTAGTGCCTTAATTATGTCATATCATAAAGTTTTTGTTGTTACACAAGAGTTACAGTCCCTGATTACCGGGCACGCCCACTCCCAGTTCAGTGAAAATCCTTATATTTTTCTATTGTTTTTCGATATTTTTAACTGATGTCACCTAAGGATTCCCTATTACAAGAAGGAGTGTGTTCAAATACTAGTTTACTCACATTAAAAGCAATAATCAGTAACATCTTCATATTTAAAACTCCGTAATTCAAGCAATTTATGAAGCGTGCCAGGAGACCGTGCTATAGTAAATGGCCATTGTAGCAAATACACCAAACGGAATTCCCGGTGAATCCCAATCACTCATCCAACCAATCATCCATTACATCGGCAGTGATGTAATACAATAGTTTCTGAAGCAGCCAATCAAATATGGAGCTTTCATTCTAAAAATAAACCCCGTAATTCCCGGATAGAAGCCCAACATCCACCCGGTGTAAGGGCAAAAATAGCCCATTACGAAATGACGGCGTCAGCTCGGCCTACCAAAA